GTGTCTGTTTGTTTTTCTCTTCCGAATTATGTAATCACTCAAATATCTACTGAAGCTTTTCTCTTTCCTGAACACCGAATCGGTTTTTCAACCTAGTCTGTCAGGATTAACTAAACAATTTTCTTCTTACCGATGTGGAAATCAGCGTTTCAGCCGAAATCAGTGAATAAAGATTGACTGAAGGGGAATGAAGTATAGATTACAGATAATCAATTCGAGTATAGGTAACATACAAGCACAAGCACGCCTTAGGGACGCCCAAGTTTAACAGCGATCAATTGACGATTTTAAATATACATGAGTGACACAAAAGGTTGGAAAGGGTGGGAATAATTGGTTTGTCTAGAAGTTAGAATATGTTAAGAAGGTATTATAGCTACTACAGACTGCTTATCCACTATCCTACCAGAGGTCGGACTCAAAGCCTCCAGGCCATGAGACGAGTGACTAACTGGGTTTCTACATTTCTAAATTCAGATGATTCACCAAAAGATTAGAGGAATGACTGCTGCATAATAGTTTACAATAATTTTGTTCATTCTTATCTGCCATAGTTTCAATCATTTCCTTTTCACCATTAAAAAACAAATAAGCGTTAGATGTATTGACTGATATAATTGTGGAAGCATTGAGATGCTTACCATGTGAAAGCATTAGGGAACCAAAAAGAAAATTAAAGCAAATGAAAGATAGAAATTCCATCTAAATCTCCAGCCAAAAGCATAACTTATTAATCAAAACATTCTATTTATGTATAGATTTTACTGACATTTGACGATTTATCAAAGTATGTCATACCTAACTCAAATAGTGGGAATAACAAAGTGGATTTTTCACTAAAATTTATACAAAAATGTTCTATACGTTAAACTAAACGTGTATCACGTTAAGTTAATACAAAAGTAGTCTAAACTAAACGTGATCTTTAGGCTTATTTATTTCTGTAAGCTATATCCTTAGAAACACTGGATCTTAAAATAGGAAAGCACTACATAAAGACGAAGACAAAAAACTGATGGTAGATTAAGACTTCATTCACCTTTTTCTAAATGGAAACGTGACACCCTAGCATGATACTTCCATTCACATAAAAAATTCCCATCTAATAATTCATACTTTAAAATTTAAGTTGATTTACAACTTAGTGTAATTATTATTTAACGCTAGTTAAGAAGACGCCTGCACTACTCGTGAAATGGTTTATCTCAAAGGTTTCCTATCAAGAACGGGACATTCTACTGAAATTTTATTAGAAGATCCAAATTGATCCTCAGGGGGGGAGAAATAATTCAGAATCATTTGGTTGAGTTCGTACATAAGAATTATTTGATTTTGTGACAAAATTAGCTCACTGAAAGCATATATAAATTTAAGAATTCAAAATGAACCAGATTTCTATGTACAAATTTTCATATTATGTCTAATCTTAGTGCCCAGAGGGCTTATATAATTCCGGAACATTCATAAATATACTATCTAAAGCTTAATGAAAAATCGCGCTGTGCTATTTTACTGTTTGATTCTTAAACAAAATGAATAAAATTAATTACGTTTTTAGATTATGACTAACTATGGAATACATAGTACTGGTTTCGTTCTATTCAGGACTTATCAACCAATTTTATCGGCACCTGAGTCTCAATATTCATAATGACACTTAATCTTAGTAACAATATCATAACGAAAACTAACATGTTGCACATTGTGCTAAGGAGTTCATTCAATCATCAACTAATTATTTCAATAGGTATGGGAATCAAAATTCAAGTTGTTGATATTTAGGAGTAAATTTTAGTCGGTTTCTGTCAGTATTTATTCATTTAAAATGGATACTTCTAAAAAAGTCATAAATATTCAATGATTTGGTTACTATCAAGCACTATGCTATTTTTCCGTTCATTTAATAATTAAATATTATCAGAATGGGTTTTTGTGGAGATATTTTTTCGAAATTTCACTGGTTGAAATCATGAGTCAATTGAAGTTAAACCACCATGGAAAACCTGGAAGCACTGGACGGCCGTTCCGTCCTGGTATGGGACTCCTCAGCAGTGCGCATCCACGATCCCACCCCTCGCGAGATTCTGTGAGATAGTAACTCACTGAAGACAATACTGTACGGTGGCGCAACTTCGTGGATCGGTTGAAATTAGACATTAACACTGTTGAACGCCGGCCAGCTCAGTGCTGAGAATTCTATATTGTACCAAAAATATAATATTGAATAAAGCTAATAATAATAATAATACTTGGTCAAGCGCCTGGCGCGAGACCGATTGGTCCTGGGTTCGAATCCCGCGGGGTGCGGGATCGTGAGTGCGCACTGCTGAGGAGTCCCATACTAAGACGAAACGGCCGTCCAGTGCTTCCAGGTTTTCCATGGTGGTCTAACTTCAATTGACTCATAATTTCAACCAGTGAAAAATTAAATATTGCCTGTTAGTATAATTTTCATTTGAGATATTATTGAGAACTCTAACTCTTTTTATATCCAATATATCATTTATGCTATATAATTATATTCATAACTGATAAATGGGAATAATTTCACTCTGCTTCAAATAATACATTTCACGAAAATTACATTCTAATTTACAGTATTCACACTACATTCATTGAATATTTAAAATATTGAATTAGGACTAATTAAAATTCAATCTTGAATGACAACAAAATATACACGAAAAAAACCTTTTTCAATTGATTAAATCAATAAATAACTCGGCAACAAATTACATAATCACATGATAGAATCTTTTGAATGTCATCTATTAAAACAATAAATATAACACGGTGTTTTAATTGGTTTTTATTTATTGACTAATTTAATCAAGTAATAATACGTAAATGTCACTTTGAAAAAATGTGTCTTAACAACAACGACCACCACCACCACAACAACAACAAAACCCTCTAATGGAACAAGTTAACCAATATACAGATTGAAATTGACCTTCAAGGATGTAAAATTAATCAATCAGTCAATAGTTTCTTTAAATTTATCATTTAGGGAAGAAATTTTATGGAATATGAAAATTTGTTGGTTTTTTTTTCATTACAAAATACAAACTTAAGTAACATGTCACTATTTTATCAACCAGGTCTGTTGTGAGATATCGACTCACTGAAGACAATGATGTACGGTGGCGCAATTTCGTGGATTGGTTGAAGTTAGATATTAACACCGTTGGATATCGGCTCAGTGGTCTAGTTGGTTAAGCGCCTGGAGCGAGACCGATAGGTCCTGGGTTCGAATCTCGCGGGAAGCGGGATCGTGGATGCGCACTGCTGAGGAGTCCCATACTAGGATGGAACGGCCGTCCAGTACTTCCAGGTTTTCCATAGTGGTCTAGCCTCAATTGACTCATGATTTCAACCAGTGAAATATTAAAAGATTCTTTATATTTCCTCTTTTGAAAAAAATAAATGACGTATCTTTGGAAATGTTATTGAATGTCAAATGGATAATGATTTTCAGAAAAAGTAGGTTAGCTGTTAGTAGGAGAAATGGGAACTTGTTTTAACTAAAAGTTCTTAAAGAAAATAAATAAAGTAATTTGTCAGCGTTTTTAAGAATAACACTTGTCAAGAATTTTTTTCGCGTAGTTTGTCTGATATCACACTGGGGACTAGGTCAATTCTATAGAGAAAATCAGCTGATTCATGTATAGAGGTTAAAAATGTGAGGTAATTAGGAGGAAACTTCGAACTTAGAATTCGTGTTATTCAATGTTCATCAGCAAGACCTTGTGAGGCCCTTTGTTTTGTCGTCATTTAGATCGAACGATGTTGTTGAAAGGGCTTTCCACTTTAGTGGCCCGAGATCTGACTCCAAGGAGATCTTAATGATGATTGATGTTAAAACATATATATCGCCTATTCTCGTGTATAATCATGGACTTGAATCGCGTTAGTCAATAACGGATTTAGATAAGTCAACTAACGAGAATGGACTTGTGAATACATGTATTTTGTATATAAAGCGAATGCGATAGAACAAAGCAAAACGACACGCAGTGGAGATGGCGGGTAAGCCAACTCCCCTTTTGTCAGGCCTTAATCAATATTTATAGCTACACAAAAGTAAGTTACAGATATGTGATGAGTAATGGGATAAGAAATGTACACACACCTACGCGCTCATATAAAAGCAGTCAAGATTGATAAGTGAATAAATAACAAGGTCAGAATGTGACTCAAGTAGAATGAATATAATGGGCTGTCCGAAAGCTAGAAAAAGGTATATGGGCTTATCATAATAACCGACACTACAACCTATTTATAAAACTAATGGAACTTATTATCTCTATAATATTTAAACTTTTATTGACATCTCCATCAGAAGTTTAAAAACAGCAGGGAAAGTGCTGAGAGCTGAGTTAGGTTCTACTGATCGATATTCACCGTCTTTTGAATAGTTGTTTCTCATGACAGAACAATGCTCGTTTCCTGTTCTGTAGTCACGTGCATACCTTAGTATACTGGTCTCATGTGGGCTAGTTGTTTTTTTTTCACCTTTGTGTAGTCTCACCAAATCTTTTACTGTTTAAAGTTCACGTCCTATCAGTGTCTTTCCTCGTGATTTTTGCTGTGAAACTCTATTGTTAGAGGCACTTATGTAAAGAATTAGAAGAAATAGGATGATCTGAAATAAAGCTACTTCTCCTTTCTCCAATATTCCTCCATTAAAAGCGTCCAACAAGAAGAAACACTTTATCAAAAAGTGCCAACTAGAATGAAGCCTAGTTTCAAACCAGGACCCTATAATTTGTTATCACGAAACAAAGAGCATCACGATTTTAAAGCACTTAGACAAATGATCACACTGAAATTTGATAAACAGAATTCAATTAATGTGAAGAACATACCAAATATAGCATTGCTTAGCACTCAATGATTATTTATTGTTGACCGATCACTTACTACTTAGTATATTACAAGACAAGGTTTTATTGAATACCATTCAATAAAAATTCTACATTTTATTTTATATTTTAAAGCTGTTCTGCTGATGGATGGTTGTACACAGACCCTAGAATTCGATCAATTTGTGTTACTTTGTAAGTTATAGCTATTTGTTTTTTGGGATAACTATTTAAGTATATTAATCTGCTTGTCTGCTAATTCTTAGTAGTTTTTAATATCTCGTTATTGAAATTCAGGTTTGAAATTGATCAGTCTCCACTGATATATGTATACCTTAAGAGTATCACCTCGATTATAGCCTATTGTTATAAATTTTTATATCTTTGAATTGTTGTTAGCAGTGGAATTCAGGATGAGCATTTCGTTGCATTTGGAACTCATCATATGTATGTGTTAATGTTCACATAGAAATGTAAATTCAATAACTATCGCTCCAAACACTAATCCGTTATCCGTTAAGCTATGAAGTCTAAATAGCCACTAAGTATTTTAGTGAATTCGAGTTTCTGTATGCATATCAACACTGGAATGCAGGTAAATCAATCTAACACGTCTCAACTAGGATATAATATGCACTTACCAGTTAGGTTCTTAAGTTTTAATTGAGGTCACGAACCGATTAATCTTAAACCACCACTAAAAACCTGGAGGCACTGGATGAACGTTTCGTCCTAGTGTCAGACTCCTCAGCAGTGCGCGTTCACAATGTCGGAGGTGAGGTAGTTACACACCGAAGACAATGTTCGTGCAAGACCAGAGGCTTTGGGTTCGAATCCCCACGCCGGGTCGTGGGTGAGCACCCTTGAGGAGTCCCTTACCAGGATGAGACGGCTGTCCGGTGCCCCTAGGTTTTCAGTGGTGGTTTGGTACTGATTGGTCTATGATCTGAATAAAACTCAACAATCTCTGCAACTCTATGTTGATAAATCCCTAAATCTTCCTTTTCATATTGTCCCATTTTATTTTATGAAACCGATGAGCCAATCACATAGGTTAAACGGTAATAAATTTCATTTTGCATTGATTATCAGAAACTGGGAAGAAAACTAATACTTTTTCTATTCAGATGGTACGATCGATAAATTAATTGGTATGATTCCTTACTCATAGTTCTAATGAATTGTTTGCTACTTTACTTCTACTGAGGTGCTTTGCTACTTTTCACAGATGAATAAATTGATTTTGTAGTTGGTTTTCTTCATAGATCAATATCAGTTGGAAAGCTGTTGAAAACCAGGATTCATTAAATAGATCTTTCATTATCGTATGAAAAATTTCATTAGTGTAGATAGATGAACCAACTAGTAATCGAATTCATGACCTTTAGACTACTCCATTGGGGGATATTAATTCAATGGTCTAAAAACCATACGTTTTCCCTAAGACTTGAAAATCATGGCTTCAATTACTGGTTAATTAATGTGTTTATGCTATTAAGAACTGGATAATTATCCCATCCTGGTATGTGACTCCTAAATAATATCACCGTCAATTCCAAGACCTTTAAGTCCTACCGAGAACGCATAACTTTTAGAACCAGTGGGCCGGCGTTCAATGAAATAATTCCGACTCCAGTTATAAATTAACCAGTGCTCCTTGAAACTCAATGATGCTTCAAATGAGATCAATATGTAACAATTACTACCTACGACTTCACAAAAATTCTTGAGATAAGTTATATTTATTCAAAAAATGCAATTAAATGAAAGAATAATAAACTGGGAGCATTTCTTTTTAGTTATTAGTTTTCTGTTCATTTCAGATGGGCTGATTGGATACCTTTGTATCAAAGAAAGTTTCAATGTCCTGATATACCACCCGGTTATGCAGATAGTATTATTAGTAGTAGCGGTGTTAGTAATCTCGGTAATATTGGTGAGTCAAATCTTAATCTGAAACCTCTGTTGGAACGTATGAATATGCTTAGTAAACAACAACAAACTGCTGTATCATCATCATCGTCCTACCCTACATTAACCACACCTAATCCATTATCTCAACTATCACAATATCAATCAAAATGGAATATTTATGATGTAAAAAGAATTAATCCAGAATTTTGGGATGGTGATCTAGGATTAATGATTCCACCAAAATTAATTATTCCTTCTATGGAACAACAATTATATGGACCAAGAGATACTGTTAAACAATTATATGGTCGTAATTATCCAACTGATAAACAATTTATACAAGGAATTAAAAATGATCATCAATGGTTACAATTTTCACAATCACAAACTGATCTTTATCATCATATGACAATTAGTTCAATTGTTACCTGTTCAATAATTATACCGCTAATACTAGTAAGTTTTTATTTCTTTTTGCATAAATATGAAAGTTCGATTTGATAACGAATACTATAGTCAACTAGATGGAGTAGCCATGGAGTCACCATTGAGCCCTCTACTGGCGGACATTTTCCTTGTAAAACTGGAAAACGGACCACTTAAAAACACAAATAACCATTTAACATCTTATTATCGTTATATAGATGATACAATTAAAAAAAACACCATCATTATTGATAATTTAGTGGCACAGTGAAGAACATATGTATATACTGGAGGTATGAATAGTTATCTATTAGGTCTTTTAGTTATTCACTTAATTTAAGTTCGATATCTTCCTTTTACTGAAACAGTCTATAAAGGAATCCAATTTTGTATTGGACCTTTTTTATATTGTAGATTTGTTTCTCAGAAATCACTTTCTATTTCTTCAACTGTTGTCAAACGTGCTTAACGAAAACTAATTCAAAACTATGGGGTACTATGAAATTTATTGGTCAAATTTATCGTCTATTCAGTAAGTCTACAATTTCCCACCTCTCTCACTCTTTCTCTCTCTCTATACACACATACATTAGGTATTTACCTAAATGAAGATGTGTATTTTTATTGAAGTTTCTCTGTATCCACAAAACTCATGTTGCTTATATGAGTATTCAATCAGTAGTCTAAGTTGAAGTGAATAGTGTAAACAAATTCGCTTGACACAAAGCCTAACAACAAATGGATATTGAAAGAAAAAGCAGAATAATTTGTTCACTGAAAGGTGATGCACTTACATGCTACCAAAATGTTTAATAATAGAGTAAATATGATTAAAAGTAGTAAATCCTACATTTTGATCGACAATCTGTCTGGTTCAAGCTTTATCAAAGAAATATAATCAAACCTAGTTTGTTTAATTATACATTGTATTTAATTAAATACATCTGTATTAAATTAATGAAATTCATTTCAGATCAACTATTTGAATATGTTGACTTTGTGAATGATTATCAGCTTGATGTTATGATCTTTAACACTGACCAGAATGAATTTATAGATATCAATACCATGGCTGGGACTTTATAGTTTCAAATAAATTGAGTATAAGGTAGAAAGTTAATAATAAAACTATTTTCTGTTTGATCCTAATGAGTTGAATAATTATCTTCCTGACATTTCGTGACTCCATGTAAGCCACTTCTTCAGAATACATAAAAAAATCGATTTTTATTTACCCTGAAGAAGTGGCTTACATAAAGTCACGAAACGTCAGAAAGACAATTTTTTTTAGATTCATTGGGATAAAACAAAAACAAATATTTTTATTATTAACTGGTTAGAATTTTGTGAAAAATAAGAAAGATTCAATATCAAAATATTCTTGTTCGAATATAGATTGAAAATGAGAGACATTTCTAAAGTCTGAAATGTTCAATAGTAACTAGTCCGACTATATAAGTTTAGCGTTTGTGGAAATCTGTAAAATACTATTAGTTTGCTTAAACGGAGTATCGCTTCCTAATGATCAGTCAAATAATGTATGCCATTTAGTCATAGATTTTTTCTTCAATTAAGTATAAATATGTAATTTATGTAAATTTCACTTATGAGAGGGGACAGATTTATTTTAATAGTTGAGTTCATGAGCTAGACCACCATGAAAAACCTGGGAGCACTGGACAGCTGTTTCGTCCTAGTATGGGACTTCTCAGCAGTGTGCATCCAGGATCTCGCTCACGGGACTCGGACCCAGAACCTTCGGCATCGCACGCCGGCTTTTAACTCCTACAACATTGAGCCGGAATCCATTGGTGTTAATATCTAACTTCAACTAATTAAAGTTTTACACAATTATAAAATGATTTCATGTTTTCTTGTAAAAATCCTTTCTCTTTTTTTGTCTTCTCTCTTAAAAAACACCAGTTACGTACATTTTTGGTCTTCTTACAACAATGCTTTTAGTCTGGTTAATTAAAGTTTCTGTTGGACGTCTTCGACCAGATTTCATTCAAATATGTCGTCCATCTGAAAATGTTTGTCCTAAATGGTATAGAATAATACAAAAAACACGTCAATCTACAGATGAACGCAGTGCAATTGAATCAGATCCACAACTATTAGATTTAATCGTTGCACAATTAGCTAAACAAGGTAAATATTTAGTTACAGTAGCTACAACACCTTCTCCGGAATCATCAACTGGTCACTTATCAGATGGATTATTTACAAATGCAGATTGTATGGAGAATAATATTTTAAAACTTAAAGAGGCTAGGTGAGTGTATAAAATTCTTAGAAATGACATAAAATAAAGTAGTAATTTTTTCAATGGCTAAGATCATGAATCAGTTGAAGCTAGACCATCATGGAAAACCTGGAAGCACTGGACGGCCGTTTCCCCCTATTGTGGGACTCCCCAGCAGTGCGCATCCACGACCTCGCTCCTTGCGAGACTCAAACCCAGAACCTACTGGTTTCGCGCACGAGCACTTAACCACTAGACCATTGAGCCGGCATCCAGCGGTGTTAATGTCTAACCTCAACTAATCCACGAAATTGAGCTACACATTCACTATTGTCATCAATGAGTTACTGTCTCACAACAGACCTGGTTGAACTCCACTGATCAATACTTCTCACTAGAACTCCAGGAAATACCTCTTGAAGCCAGTCACTAGTGAGCATATGTTGATTAATATTAGATGGGTTTTGTGGATATTATAGTAATTTCAATGGCTAAGATCATCGAATCTCGTGGGGAGCGAGGTCCAGGATGCGCACTGCTGAAGCGTTTCACAATAGGACGAAGCGGCCATCCAGTGCTTCCAGGTTTTCCATGGCGGTCTAGCTTCAACTGACTCATGATTTTAACCATTGAAATAACTATAATATCCACAAAACCCATCTGATATTAATTTTTTATTAAAATGATAGTGTGCAATAAAATATGGGACATTGATTTCATCCTATCAATATTGATATTTAAACTGTAATTTGAACTCAGTACCTGCTACTTTAAACACCTAACGTGTTATCCACGCGGCGACTGAGCTCAAATAGCCATTAACTTGATCAATCAATATGAAGATATTATAGTTAGAATGATTAATAGTTCCTTGTTGTTGAGATTCAAGTGACATTGTAGTTCTTAGCATTAACCACAAAATAAATACAAACCTCTACAAGCAATATTCATTAAACAGTGATAAATGAAGTTTTTTGTTTTGTTTTAAACATCTATGATGTACCAATATTTTATTTTGAATAATCTTAATGCTTTCATTGTATTATTCAATAATAAATGTAGAACGTCATTTCCTTCACTGGGAGCAGCTGTTTCGATGTATGCAGCAATTTTTGTAACAGTAAGTAAATCATTATGGATAATTAATTATGTGTATTAATGTGAGAATCAATCTTGTTGTGGTTGTCTAAGACTTAGAAATACTTGGCCCTCCTTAATAAATCAATATGTAAATGATAACAGTTCAAAGGTTAATGTTGATAATATGAATTTGCGTAATGGATTATGTCATAAACAACGTAGAATCTGATACAGATATATGTTTTTGTGGGGCGCTTTATTTTGTCGTCATTTAGATCGGACGATGTTGTCGAAAGGGCTCTTCACTTTAGTGACCCGAGATCTGACTCCAAGGAGATCACAATGATGATTGTTGTTGAAATATATATGTCGCCTATCCTCGTATATAATCATCGACTTTAATCGCGTTAGTCAATAACGAAATTAAATAAGTCGGATAACGAGAATGGATTTGTGAATACATGTATTTTGTATATAGAGCGAATGGGATAGAGAGAAGAGAAACGACGCGCAGTGGAGACGGCGGGTAAGCCAACTCCCCTTTAGTCAGGCGTTAATCAATATTTATAGCTACACAAAAGTAAGTTACAGACATGTGATGAGTAATGAGATGAGAAATAATGTACACACACCTACGCGCTCATATAAAAGCAGTCAAGATTGATAAGTGAATAAATAACAAGGTCAGGATGTGACTCAAGTAGGATGAATAGAATGGGCTATCCGAAAGCTAGAATAAGGTAAATGGGCATAACATCATTATCGACACTACAATGTACATCGTCTGAAGTTGTAGCGTTGAATGAACATAGTGAGTTAAAATTAAAAAGCTAAGGATGAGAGCAGTAGAACTGGTGACAGTTATAGTTTTGGTGGAGTTTCGTTCCTGAAACTTGTGCTGATAGTGTTTTTCAGAAACAAAAAAGCTCCATGATTAAACCATCCAACTCAGATAACGAAACTCTATCAAAATCATCCACTTGGGCTATAAATCGCCATCGTCTCAACAATTACAGTAGTAATAGTAGAAAGTATTAGATAGAAAAAAATAATAATCCGTAAACAAACAACGTGCTGACTTAATAAAATTTATGACATTATTTATAAGAAATCGAGATTCAGAGAAAGATAAAGAGTGAATGCATTTGTATCTGTGTAACCGATTTTGAGCCATCCCACCCAGAGTCACTAACTACTGATTATAACTACTGAATGGACCCCTACCTAAAACGAATTGATCCACTAATCAGCGTCTTCATGTACTAATATCACGTTTTGGTTTACCAACCCCTAGCTTACTTCCAACTTGGTTTTACACTAAAAAAACACTGTTCGTAAAGACAGGAAGTGTTTGGACATATGTGTCATATATTTCAACCACCTCAGCCGTCAAAAGTCCATTACTTTATCAGTTATTTTTTCATATTTGCCTAACATTACCGCGAAATCTCAGTGTTTCTCATTTACTGCAGCTAATGAAGTTGTTTTATATAAAATTTAAAAAATCCTACATCAATTCTCACATAATAGTTTACTGACGATTCTCACTCACCGGAAAAAAATTAATCCGGATAACAAAGTTCATTCTATTCCACCACACTTTAGAGAATGGCAAACTTGTTGCTAAGTTGTTGGAAATAGATAGAAAGAAACCCTAGACCTATAATTTATAATATTTGGCATTGGTTACCAAGGCGTAGCTGCAATCTTCGGGGAGACGATGTTCTATATGAGTTGAGCTACTTAGTTCAGTGGCTACGCTCCAATTATATTCAACTTGTTTTCACTAGTAATAATGAAGAAACTCATACGTTTTTATTGAAAAATAAAGATACATACTACTGTATATGTAAACTTGATTTCTCATCCTATCAAACGATTGTAGTTGTTTCTTTTTGTGATAGAAAGCTTGAGAGTGTTAACGAGTACAAATTAATCACTTTGATAACTGATAGTTTTTTTGCATTATTTGTTATTATCTTCTCTAGGTCTATATTACTGCATTAATGAAAAACTTCCGAGATGCCTGTCTTTGCATTCCATTTCTGTCATTACTTGGTGTTAGTCTAATTGCTCTAATCCTTGGTGTCAATAGAGCGATTTACAGAAATAACTGGTTTGAAGATATTTTAGCCGGTTGGATTATCGGTATTTGTATAGCTATATATGTTGTAAGTAAGACTACTTGTTAATAATTCTCTGAGCTTAAATAAACTGTAGGTAAAAGCTTGTGGAGATGCGAGATCAAGTTTCATAGGTTCGATTCCCACGTGTGAGGTCTTGTATGAGTACTGCTTTCCATTGCCGTCCAGTGCTTCCAAGTTTTCAATGATCATAGTTTTGAGGAATTTAAATAAACTACTTTACTACATTACAAGTAGTTAATATAAAAATGTTTTGTGATCACATCTATCCACGTGAAGTAGGAGTTGATAATATTATACAGAATGACATCTAAACTACAGGAAAAACATCTTAAACGTCAATCTGATCTGAGAATCTCTCTCATAACTTAAAATATCAAAAGAAATATATGTCACAATTGTTAATTTCTCAGACGGATAGTGAATTAATGATTACCTGTAGACTGGTACGTAATAAAGAAATATTTTACCTTACTCTAACCATATTAACCTCCAAATCAAAACTGTCCAATCGAAAGAGATTAAAAGATGAAGAGAATAGGCTGAGCTGTTAGATTTATGTTGCTAAGAGAAGTTTATCTAACAGAAAAATCAATTGTTGTACCAATATTGATATTCATTAGGTTGAGACGTTTGTGGAGATTGATTTAATGTAAAGATCATTGTTATCATGGATTGTCATCGGTCGTCATTACCATTTGAAGATTACTGAAGACTAAAGGTTATTACTTTCCTAATATGAGACACCTCAGCAGTAGTGGGACTGGGTGTATTATCTTTATATTACTGAATTTGATGGCAATTATCCATATTACCAACTTTCAATTGTCGATATAGAACATCGATTATCCAATACTATTAGCAATGACTTACTACTACAAGCGGAGGTGATTCTTAACTCCAACTTCAAATATTGTTGTATTCGGTAAAGTGGTTTTCACTACTTAAGATACGAAAGTAGTTTATATCTCTTATTTGCTCTTATATTGTAAACAGAGATTACATAAATCTTAATGGTTGTTATTTGTATGGCTTATTTTAGTACTTTGACACTAACACCAATGTCATACAATTAGGATTAAAAGTAATGAATTGTTTACTTTGCCAAAGTTCTTCCCTTTTTTTCTTTTTACAAAGGACTATTCCTTAGTTATACAATTCTGTTTTTATGTTTCTCTGTATTTTCAGTGTTTTAAAGTTTTATACAATCGTGACAAATTGAATGATTTAACTAATTATGATTTAAATCGTCGTTTGCATAGAATTCAAACTTTAATTCAAACTCATCATGATTATAAACAATCTGAGGTAAGATTAGTTTTATCCTTAGATATGTACTTCATAGTAAATTATTACACAAGAATAGGAGTAGATGTCTATTAGTTACATGTAGAAATGTTCATATTTATTAGCAAAAGCAATAAGTAAGCCTGATAGGTTTCTGTTATATCTTAGCGAAGATTAAATTACGAGTAACTCCTGAGACCTATTAATGGACTAATATTATCTATATATTCCTATGGTATGACTATTCAATAATTAGATTATGTACATTTATATTCCTCTTATTATAAGCTTTATTTTGACCTATAAATTATTATTGTACGATTTACTGTTCATAAGTTATACTCAGTTTATTAATTACTGTCTCCCACGTCCACAGCCACTTTCTGGCTTTATTGTGTATAAATGTTATTTCTCATTTTATGGCGCGTTGCGGTCTATTTGGTTGATACATAAACCCAGTATGTCTGAAATAACTGATTCGCATGGTGGAGACTGTTATTGGCATTCTGGACTCAGCTGGACGGGCTAGGTGAGCAACGGACCAATAGGATGCTAGGCTAATCAAACTGAACGAACTTCATTGGTTTAGTGCAGTACAAGAGCGAACAAGTCGTATTTTGATTGACGAATAAATTACGTGATAACTAGTGGGCCATAAAGACACAACAGTTTCACGATCATTAGCCAATGAAAGACTGAAAAAATTCATATCTTACATTCAATTATGTTTTAAATGACTTGAACTATATTTAGATTAGGAGATTTTTGTGCAGTGGAAAATCAGAGGGCGGTTCTGTTCTAGTATGGAACTCTTCAACAGTCCGCCTACATGACCATTCCAGCGATAGAGCTCTAAACCTTTAGTTCACTCAGAAAACCTATCATCTACAAAATTAGTTAAAGTTCAGTGTTTCATGATCTTTGAAAGTTGTCTCAGCTGAAATCATTCCATGATATTAACTATCTTTACGGTAAACTGTCTTCACAAATTTCTCAACTTATACAAGTTTCCTAAGTTTTATTTCCAGCTCTGGGTTTATGGATAATCACTGCTGAAGAGTCCCATACTACGACGAAATGGTCATTTAGTACTTTCAGGGTTTTTTTCAATGGTTGTTTAACTTAAATCAGTTAGTGATTTCAATGAAACTATTCTACTTTCGTTGAAATTGAACAATCTATAGAAAACGTCCATTGTCTTTGAAATGAATTTGAACCCTTGTGATTTAATTAAATATTGCTATCATCATTGCTATTCATAACAATTTATTTTTCATTTCAGTTAAAAATGATGAAATATTTGTGATATTCATACAGGTATGTTTAGATTAATTAAAGGAAATTAGATCTTATTACAAATACATATACAGTGTCTTATATCGTAGACTGAAAGTAGTTAAAGCAAATACTGAAAGCCAGAATGTATTGGACTGTTTGTTTGGTCCCAATATAGAAGTTATCAACAGTATACATACATTATTTGCCACAAGATTGATCCTAGGATCTTTAAGATGATTTATTCAACATAAAATGATTAACATTTCCCATTTTAATCAGTTAGTAATACAGAATGATATTGAATGTAGGGTTTATTATTTAAATGAATTAATACAACTAACTGAGCACTTAACCACTATACCACTGAACCGGCAACCAGCGGTTTTAATGTCTAACTTCAACTAATCCGTGAAATCGAGCGACACATCCACCATTGTCTTCAGTGAGTTACTATCTGGCAACAGACCTAGTTGAACTCCACTGGTCACTACTTCTCACTAAGAACTCCAGGATATACCTCTTGAAGCCAGTCACTAGTGAGTATATGTTGATCAATAGTTAATAATAGTGCTCGCGCGCGAAACCAGTAGGTCCTGAGTTCGAATGTCGCAGGAGGCAAGGTCGTGAATGCGCACTGCTGAGGAGTCCCACACTAAGAATAAACGACCGTCCAGCGCTTCCAGGTTTTCCATGGTGGTCTAGCTTCAACTGACTCATGATCTTAACCATCGAAATTACTATAATATCCACAAAACCCATCTGATATGTTGGAATTAGTCAGGTGAATAAATAATTTGTAATTTTTCTAGAAAAGTTGTTCAAAAATCAAGTAAATAGTCATGAAGGCCATTGGTTAGATAGATCCTTAATGTGCTTGTTGATGATCACCTTCACTAAGGAATCCTATACTATGGCGAATTAACTATCCACTGCTACCCGGTTTTCAATGATTATCTAACATAGGTCGATTAACGGTTTACATATAACTCAACAATATCCACAACAACCCGTTTACTGATAACTAAAAGTAAGTTTGAAGAACTATCCAATTCGGTAGATCTATTGATTTACTGATTACATAAAATGTTCCCCACACTCTTCTAGTTTTTGAAGATATTATCGAGGAATCCTCATAAAATCTTAACATGCTTCATGTAACTAGGTGGTGTTGAGTTCACTAAAAATGGAATACTAAAGATTAAATGAGAATACGATTTTCTTCCAAACCACTGGGTTATGCTAAGGTACAGATAATTTAATATCATCTCATTCATTCACATATTATTTGAATCCATCCATTATTTGTAAGAGCTGACTGTAAGGTTGTTTTGTTACATGAAATAAAACCTTTTTAAAGGATCTCAATTCCATCAAAGTTAGTTTTGCGGCCTGCTTCTACTCAATACAGCACTATATTCATATTGTATTTTCAGTAATTTTTTTTAGGTTTTTTGAAGAATTCACGAATAGGTTTCAAACAATTTTTATAGGCTTGGTCTATTCCACATTCAAATATCACAATGTCTTTCATTCTCATTTACGGGATTAAGATTAGTGCATCCACCTTCAAAGACATAGTTTTGATGTTTATTTTTAAATATCACATCTTTGGTTTTCACAAATATTGAACTAAATGAGAAAGAGAAGTGATACAATTTCTTGTAAGAAGTCCGATAAATAACAGAATTTGTAGACTGTATTCGTCACAAACTGTTCTCATTGTGGGATAACATTGAGATGAATAAAACCGATAAATCAAACTAATTTCTATGACGCCATTAGATTCAGGGCTGGGTCTCTGGAAAGAAATTGAATGAGTATTACCTGAAAACTGAACTAGTTTCGATCAGACAGATTTCATATTTCTTGAACAGTCCAACTGCTATTCACCAGTATGTAACGCCTTCTTATTAAAGACTTTAAGTATTCTATCTCTAATCCACTAAAAAAACCCACATTATTTCTTCAGTTAACAGTTGACAAATGTCATTCATAATATTTTAAAATCCTGATTCAACAATAAACCGTTGACTACATATCCTAATACAAAAACGTGCATTTAATTTTGTCATAGATTAAATAAAAATGTGAGTGTCTATTTATATGTGAGCTGATATTGAGTACTAAATTATAGAATTTAATGGATGATAGTCAACATATTTTCGTCCATAGTATTGATTGAATCAATCTTTCAATTCATCAAATTGTACTGTTACCTCCCTCATCCAAATCATCAAACTATATTTTCAATTCAGAAATGTTAAACTTTTAAAACAAACGACATAATTTGTGAGCCTTTAAATGTTCAGTCTTAACAACAAATTGTAAATCCCTTTATTTATTTATTTATTTATAAATCCATTCGTGTCCAGATTTTATATCTAGTAAGGTTATGTAACTTGTTAGTTAGTACACTTTATTAAGTAGGAGAACCCCACTTGGTCGAATAGGTATTTCTAAAAGTTGCAAGCAGCTTTATAAGTAAGAGTGTAGTAAACGATATTCATTAAGGGGGATGAAAAAACCAGATGGTAAGTACTATATAGTAAAAGAAAAATTCGATGACATTATAGAAGACATCTAATTATAGTACATGCCTGGCGATTACATCGGTAGTGTCCAAATCAGTAAAAATGTATCACACAAGATCAATACTTCCTACTAGAATAACCTTTCACAATCTTAAGGATGAAATTTAAATGACCAGCACAGCGTTATATATCTAATACTTTTCATAGATGCCATTCAGTTTAGTAAAAGTTTGACAATATCTCCTCTTAAATAAGAAAATGATGCTGATTTCAAAAGCTAAGTTTCCCGATGATTAACTGACTGACTGGCCATGATTTTAAAACGATATGTGAAACTCTTGTCTAGACAGACATCTATAACCATTATTATAAAGGGTTTGAATAATCCTGTTGTTGGTATTTTGGACTCAGTTTTGTTGGCTTATATGCATCTGATGAAGCGTATCTCAAAATAGCTATTTTGTAACAAGTTTTAGAGAATAGATGGATTATAACTAACAGGGGAATCCAGGACAGGTGTCTTGTTCGATTCAGGACTTTTCAGCTTTGTATACCCACATCCTGGTTTTGTTTTTCATACTGAGATAAGAAACAAGAACCTTTCGCTACAAAGGCGTTATCGACCGAGCTATTAAGTCTAGATAACCACTAACTTGTTTAATAACTGTGATGTTGAAATCAGTAATTGGGTACAGGTGAATGTAGCTGATGAATCCTTAATGAGACCGAACACGTGTCCTATATTCCACTACTGACTATAACCAACCTATTTTATAGGAAAATATCTTTGATGTTTAATGATTAACCAAGCTTAAATTACCATTTGTCATGGATGTGCACTGCTGAAGAGTCCCACAATAGAACGAAACGATCGTCCAGTGCTTCCAGGTTTTCCATGGTAGTCTAGCTTCAATTGACTCATGATCTCAACTATTAAAAGTTACTATCATAACCAAAAAACCCCTTCTCATAATAATCATCGTATGCTCACTAGTGACTGACTTCAAGAGTTATTTTCTGGAGTTCTAGTAAGAAGCAGTAATCAGTCTGTTGTTAGATAGTAACTCACTGATGACAATGGTGGATGTGTCGCTGAATTTCGTGGATTAGTTAATGTTAAACATTAACACCGTTTTATGTTGACTCAGTGGTGTAGAGTTTAAGCGTTCACGTGTGAAACTAATAGGTTGTGATTTGAAATCTCGTTGGTGGCGCGATCGTGGATGCTCACTGT